TTCAGAACTAACTGGAATTTAACTCAGTATGGCATGAAGGTCAAAGGTGTGCAGAGAAATTAAGGCATGAGGCATGGATGATGAGCACACTGTAACTTTCTTGTCTTTTTCTGTAAATCTCTTTTTCCTCCCTCTCAGCAAGCAGGTGTCCTGCATTGTGCAGTCCACCCAGCATAAAGTGGCCATAGCTCAAATCCTAATATTCCTACTTCCTCTATCAAAGAACTAACCCCATTTCATCTGGCCACTGTCTGCCTCCCACAAAGTTTCCAGGGCAATAGAGTAGAGATTTGTTTGGAAGAAAAGAGAAGACGGGAGCTGAGTTCTCTTGGAACTTTCTTTTGTAAGTCGCACTAGAGGGTTCACATGCTGCAAGTAGTTGCTCTTAAGGCAGAGAACATCAAAACTGATATCCCAAACAGAAAAAAGGGGTGGTGTTGTAGACTCTAGAGACCAGAAGGCTGCCGGTCGGTGTGGGTGTGGAAGGAGGGTTGCCACTGGCATTGAGTTGGCAGGTGCAGGCCCTGGTGAAACAGTCGCAAGAGAAGACTAGACTAGAACAGAAAGATAGCAGACTCTCACCAAGAAGAGGGCAGGCGGCTCATAAGAAAACTTCCAGGGACCATAAATGAAATTGTGGTAAGAGGTAAAAGTAGCCATTTCTTTTGGAACAATGTGATGTGGAAATGGAGGAAGGCACAATAAGAAGCCTTCTAGAAATTAATTTTGTTGCTGGAGGGCTTCTCTCCAGGTTCCCCAAGCCCCACAGTCCCACAATCCACTTATAAAATAATCACTCAGACGCTTATATCACTTATAAACTGTATGGCCGTGGCAGGCTTCTTGCTAACTGTTCTTTTATCTTAAATTAACCCATTTCTATAAATCTATACCTTGCCATGTGGCTGGTGGCTTCCCGGCATCTTCACATGCTGCTGGTCATGGCGGTGGCTGCAGTGTCTCTCCCCTCAGCCTTCCGCTTCCCCGAATTCTCCTCTCTCCTTGTCCCACCTACTTCCTGCCTGGCCACCTACTTCCTGCCTGGTCACTGGCCATCAGTGTTTTATTAATATAGAACGATATCCACAGCATAATATTTTACTAATTCTGCTTCCTGCAAAGTACATAGCTTGTCTTTACTCTCATCTGTGGTCCCCTGATAGTCTATTGTGAAGATCATATCTCTTATGCTCTTGCCATATGCTGGCAAACATCTATTCAAGTAAAATTTTAAATGCTACATGGAAGAAACTGCCAAGTGATGTAGTACTATCAAACCTGTGTTTCCTGAAATCATCTCTGTCTTTTAGATCTAGTGTAAGAGCAACTATAAACAGTAGGTAGGTATTTTAGCTACTAGGATAACTACAGGTAATGGAAAGAGAGTCTAATCATTTCTGGGAATTCCCAGGAAATTCGCTCTTGATTTATGATTTCTCTGGAGTTCAAAGCACCAGTGTTATCTCTTGCATTCAGATTCCCACCTTATGATTCAGCCAATTAGAAGTGATCTGGGAGAGTCCCTTCATTTTCCTTAGTTTCCACAAATAGACTCTTCAACCCTCTGCCTCAGACACAAGACAGTGGACTATGGTATCAGTCGATAATCCAATGATGGAGTTTCATATGGTTCATTCTTCTAAAAAAAAAGGGGGGGGGGTTAGTCTGACTTGATAAACAAAATTACTAATGAAACTGAGTGTCTCTATAAAGATGAGTAAGATTCAGGTTATATGCTTTCCAAAATCCACCAGAATGAACACAAAACAACTATATAGTACATGGCTAGAGAGAAAGGTCACCATAGATGCATACTAGGGAACATACATCTGTCTAATAACAGCAGAAAAGTCTCCTGTGTCTTCAGTAAGAGTCATTCATTTAGCCGGGCGGTGATGGCACACAACTTTAATCCCAGCACTCGGGAGGCAGAGCCAGACGGATCTCTGTGAGTTCAAGGCCAGCCTGGGCTACCAAGTGAGTTCCAGGAAAGGCGCAAAGCTACACAGAGAAACCCTGTCTCGAAAAACCAAAAAAAAAAAAGATTCATTTATTCAACTTGCTGAAGACCTATGCCGGACACTACTCTATGTATGTAGTAGTTCACATTTTTTCTGTGCATGTGAACTTTGCATTTCAGAGGAGCAGATTCAAGTAAAAAGAAATAAAAAGACAAGATTATTCCAGATAATAGAGTTATCTGAAGACAGCATCATAATTCAGAAAAGTTTTAGACAGGGTAGTAGGAGACTTCAAAAATGGAAGAAGCCATAGAGAGATACAATTTCAGTGTGTGTCAGAAAATTCTGAGCAAAAAAACAAATGATCATAGAAAGAAATAAGGCTCAAGAAGTAGAGAAGGGCCCTGAAGGACACCATGAGCCATGAAACAGAATTTGGAGTTTGGAATTTGAATTGAATTGAAAATATCAGAAGTTTTGTTGTTGTTGTTGTTGTTGTTGTTGTTGTTGTTGTTGTTGTTGTTGTTTTCATTTGATCCTGTTTTTCAGTTCTTGGGGGTTTTTTTCCCTATATAAGACAGTGGATCTTGAAAAATGAAGTTATAGTGTTCACAGGAAGATAGATGAGCTGGTGATCATTGTGTTAAACAAATTAAGCCAGACTCAATAATACTATGGGTTTTCTACCAAGTAGAAATTGGACTCTGAGAGGAGAGGGGTGTTTAAGGGGAGGGAGACAAGAGAGAGTAATGCCATGAAAGCAGAGGGAACATTATTTGTGAGACCAGCAAGAAAGGGTGAAAAGGAATGGAGTGAGGCAGTGAGGAGGGGAATAAGAACAAAGCATAGTGACAATATATGTATGAAATGTCACAAAGAAACCCATTTCTTTATATACTAACCAAAAAAATTAATTGTAAAAAATCAGAATAGTTTAAGAAGAAAAGCAGAAAAATCTTTGTTTTAGATTGAAGGATAATCCTCCAGGAGGGATGGAAGTGGTACTCAGAGAGGGAGGACTATAGGAAGGAAGGCTGATCAGAAGTTGATTGTAGCTATCCAGGGCAGAGACAGTGAGTCTAATTGGACGATGCAGCCCACAGGTGACTGGGTCCATGGGTGATGGGGTCCACAGGTGATCAGGCCCAAAGGTGATGGTCCACAGGTGATGGAACCCACAGGTGATGGGGTCCACAGGTGATGGGGTCCACAGGTGATGGGGTCCACAGGTGATGGACCCCACAGGTGATGGGGTCCACAGGTGATGGACCCACAGGTGATGGGGTCCACAGGTGATGGGGCCCACAGGTGATGGGGCCCACAGGTGATGGACCCACAGGTGATGGGATCCACAGGTGATGGGGCCCACAGGTGATGGGGCCCACAGGTGATGGGGTCCACAGGTGATGGGGCCCACAGGTGATGGGGTCCACAGGTGATGGAGCCCACAGGTAACTGAAGCCCACAGGCAAAGGCATCTGGTTTCAACACTAACTAAACAAGCCCATGTTCCAGCATCTTTTCCTGCTCTTGCAGTCATCCGCGCTGATAGTATTTCATCTCCTGCACAAATGCCTCCTTAACACAGTTGTCTCTGGTGAAGAACCCCCGTGTTACTGTGCTGTTTTCTACAACTCCAGGAAACACAGTAACTGAAGGAATACTATGATGATAGGGTGTACATGTGCCCTGTTTGAAGTCATAGTTAAAATACCACAAAAACATGTAAAGTAAATCTTTACCCCATGCTGTCCTCTAGCTTTATCTCTACCCATTGTTCAGCCACATGTATTATATGCTTTTAGATTAATTTGAACTTTTTATGTGTGTAGTCCAAGCAAACTGTCTTTGGAGGCTTAACTTCATACATTGGTTGAGAAAATGAATTTATTTTTGTTTTGAATCTTAGGAAATGAGCTACTTTAAACCCCATCTTACATATTCTAAATGATAGATATCTGGCTGTTTTTCATGATGGTGGACAATTATCTGGGGAAGAGAATCTCACTGGAATTTCAGTGTTGGGCAAGGAGCCATTAATCCTGTGTCCACACAGCAGACAGTCAGGCAGCCATACTCGGTGCTAAACATGTAAGAGAAGTCTAAGAAAAGAAATGGTTGTGAGAAGTAAAGGGGTACAATTTGATATTTACAGGGGGAGGGAAGAGAAGTAAAGTAGGGTAATGCAGTGAATATAACCAAATCAGGTATGAGTAGAAATGTCATAATGAATCAACTTACTTTGTACAATTAATACATGTTAATAAAAAATATTAACAGTAAAACAGTCTCTGCCTACTGAACAGAGAGAGATGAAGGCCCCATAGAGCTCTCTGATGATGTGAGCTTAAAGCAAAAGAAGACAGGCATAAAGACAACTGTGGTGGTATTGTGTTCCCCAAAATATTGTGTACCTTAATAAACTAATCTGGGGTCAGAGAACAGAAAAGCCACTAGTTAGGCGGTGATAGCACACGCCTTTAATCCTAGCACTCCAGAGGCAGAAATCCATCTGGGATCTCTGTGAGTTCAAGGCCACATTGGAAACAGCCAGGCATGGTGACTCACACCTTTAATCCCAGGAAGCTAGCCTTTAATCCTAGGGAGTGATGGTAGAAAGCAGAAAGGTATATAAAGGCATCAGGACCAGAAACTAGAAGCATTTTGGCTGGTTAAGCTTCAGGCTTTCGAGCAGCAGTTCAGCTGAGAGCCATTGAGATGAGGACACAGAAGCTTCCAGTCTGAGGAAACAGGACCAGCTGAGGAACTGGTGAGGTGAGATAGCTGTGGCTTGTTCTGTCTCGCTGATCTTCCAGTATTCACCCCAATAACTGGCCTCGGGTTTGATTTTATTAATAAGAACTTTTAAGATTCCTGCTACAGACAACAGATGAGGTGAAGAGGTACACTTGGGGTTCACAGAAGTGTGGCAGAGGGCGTCAGAGAAGAGACAGGATGGCCAAAAAGAAGAACATTTGGTAAATGGGACTAAGACTGGGTAGATATTTAAAGAAAAAAAAAATACCAGGAGAAGCCGTGTTTTGCCAAACGAAACTTTCTCTCTACAGTTCTTCATGCAGGTACACCCAATGGAAACAGGAAACCAAACGAAACTTTCTCTCTACATTCTTCATGCAGGTACACCCAATGGAAACAGGAAACCAAACCGGCATCTCCGAGTTTCTCCTCCTGGGCTTCTCAAGTTGGCCAGGGAAGCAAGGGCTCCTCTTTGCACTCTTCCTGTGTCTCTATTTAACAGGACTATTTGGAAACCTACTCATCCTGCTCGCCATTGCCTCAAACAATCATCTACACACACCCATGTATTTCTTCCTTGCCAATTTGTCCTTGGTAGACCTCTGCCTTCCTTCAGCTACAGTGCCCAAGATGCTACTGAACATCCAAACCAAGTCTCAGTCCATCTCCTACCCTGGATGCCTGGCTCAGATGTATTTCTGTATGATGTTTGCCAACATGGACAATTTCCTTCTCACTGTGATGGCATATGACCGTTATGTGGCCATCTGCCATCCTTTGCACTATTCCACCATGATGACCCCACGTGTCTGCACCTCTCTGGTGGCTTTCTCTTGGGTCATTGCCACTTTGAATCCTCTCTTACATACCCTCATGATGGCCCGACTGCATTTCTGCTCTGAAAACATCATCAACCATTTCTTCTGTGACATCAACTCTCTCCTCCCTCTCTCCTGTTCTGACACCAGTCTCAACCAACTGATGGTTCTGCTTGTGGTGGGACTGATCTTTGTGGTGCCGTCAGTGTGTATCTTAGCATCCTATGGTCGCATTGTCTCTGCTGTGATGAAAATAACTTCTATTCAAGGAAAACTCAAGGCATTCTCAACCTGTGGCTCTCACCTTGCCTTGGTTATTCTTTTCTATGGCGCCATCGCAGGAATCTATATGAGCCCTTCATCCAACCACTCGACTGAAAAAGACTCGGCTGCATCAGTCATCTTCATGGTTGTAGCCCCTGTGTTGAATCCCTTCATTTACAGCTTAAGGAACAATGAGCTGAAGGGGACTTTTAAAAAGACTCTTGGCCAAAGCAGGATGCTTTCCTGGTGACTTACACTGCTCTGAGAGGAGTTCACCAGGCAGGAAAGCATGCTGACACCATTATTTTCATTGTCAGTTTAAAAGCTGTCATTAAATACTTAATGAAGCTTGTCATCGACCACAATTTGTTACATATTCTAAAACTGACATAACCACAGATTGTCTCTATTTGAGTGTCATAATATTTTATTGCTGTAGACAAATATTTAGATCTTAAATCCCTGAAAAATCACAATAAAATATGGAACCAACATTAGAGTGTCATTAAGACAGCCCAAATTACCAGGTGTGCTGGTGCACACCTGTAATCCCAGAACTCAGGAGACAGAGGCAGAAGGATCATCAAGAGTTTGAAGCCAGCCTGGTCTATATATCAAGTTCCAGGCCAGGCTATATAATGATGTCTTGTCGAAAGGAAGGAAGGAAGGAAGGAAGGAAGGAAGGAAGGAAGGAAGAAAGAAAGAAAGAAAGAAAGAAAGAAAGAAAGAAAGAAAGAAAGAAAGAAA